AGGCGATGTTATTCCCATTTCTGTATTGATCTCTTCTTCTCCAATTTCTAGCCGTCTCTGTCTTCTTAATCTTGTTTCTGTTCTTTTTCTGTAACCCCCCCCCCCCCCTTTCTTTCACTGTATTTCTTAGTATATATAGGTTTTAGATTTTAGGGCTTTAGAATTTGTAGTTACAGTTTAGGGATTTAGGATAATTAGGAATTTAGATTGTAATTGATTAGATTCTGTCATTTTTGGATTGTAATGGATTTTGCAATTGATTCTGTAATGGAGATTGAGATTTGTAGAGATTTGGATTTGATTGAATATTGATTTTAGATAGCAAATCATGGGCTTGGATAAGATCTTATTCAGTTTAATTGGATTTTGTACTGTAAAATATTTTCCAAATTTTATTTAGTTTTAGTTACATTTGTAATTTGATTTTGTAATTTACACAGTGGGTGTTAGTAGCAGAAAACATGCGTTGATTATTGGTTTAATTGGTACAGTGTGTGTTAATGGGAATTGGGCCAGGAGATGTACTTCTTTTCATTGGGCCTGCAGCGCATTTTTATTTGAGCTTTGGGCCTACGTTAATTATTACCTCTCTTGTCCAGCATATGCAAAAACGTCTTTTGGGCTCCCATGCTGTAACAATTTTTGTTTTGCCCATAACCTTCTAAACAACATTTTTTTTAACCAGACTGGGCCTAAAAACTTAGATATGAACAAATCTTTTTTCAATAATATTTAATGAAAGGTCTTAAAACCCAATATCTAATAACCAAAAACAACAAATAAAAATTAATTGGGCTTAACTCAATGGGCTTAGTTATTGATAAGCACACCTCTCATTCTACCAACAATCACTTAAATGTAAATGGGCTTAGATACTTAACTTTAAACTAATACCAAACTAAAACTAATAATTTATTAACTACTCAGATGATTTTTTTATATTTTCGAATTGCATGGGTCAATTGGCCAACATGCTTCCCTAACGGATTTATGAGTCTTTCTGATTTAGAAAGCCCCTATTAAAATACACCCCCTAGTCTTGGATAAAGATGGGCCATCAGATATTGTTGTACCATTTTTAACTAAACATTTCTTCTATTTTAAGCTCGAAAAATAAAATCATCAAGGTAGGAAAATTTTGGGGTACGACAGGGCCATTAAAAGGGTGACACATATGCCACTGAAGTCAACTCTCCGGTTGTCTTCTCCAGTTGGCTTGAAAAACCATCCCTGCAAAATAACAATAGTTAAGGATCTAAAACCACCCTATTCCCCTGAATGGCATACTGCGAATCCATTGGTACCCTCCGTTTGGCCTGAAAACGTCTAAAAACTCTAGATCGAAGCTTTATTATCGTTCTGCCCTAGTGATGGCATCCTGCTATTCCTGCGTTAGACCTCTCCAATAATGATTCAAAAACATTCTAAACTTCATCACAAACATGTATAAATACATGAAATCAGTCAACAATGCGTGATTTAAGAGATAAGGTTTAGAAATTTTTTACCAAAAACTGGTATGATCTGGAGTGGTGTTCTGAGAATGGTTGGGTGCACTTCTGGATTAGGGAAGGTTCCTTATCTCCTCAGGAATACGTTTGAATCAGAGAACTAGATTGAAAACGCCTAGAGACAGGGTTTTGAGCTTGTATCAGTTTGGAAATTTGGAAACTTTGGTGTTCTCTTTGAGGAAGGATTCTGTGTTCTTTTGCATGCTATGCTTTGTAGTATATATAAAGAATGGAAAGGGCTAGCAAAACATGGAAATGAATCAAGCCATGAAGGCTCTCATCAAATGCCATCAAAATTTTGAATTCTTTCCATCTTTGTTATATCCTTGCCATTTTAAGCTTGCAATGAACCTGGACACATTTTTTACAGGCCTTGACATAATGTAATGGGCTTGCAAAAGGGTTGAATTCAACAAGCCCAAACCTTACTCATTATCTTCATTTTTATTGGATTTTATTTAATTTTTTAAATGAATAAAAATTCAAAAAAGTAATGAAAATCAACAAAATGTGTGAATGCCTTTTATAGGTCCTCTAAGCTGTTACGAGTGTGTTTGAATATCAAAAACTAGGCTCATTGGTTCAAATTTGCAATTTTGCTCAATTTACACTTCATGAATTTCTTCAAAATTCCCCAACTTGTGCAACTCATAACTTGCTCAATTTTCATATTTTAAAGATTATCTTGGACTTTTTGGAAAGCCCAGGATGTCATCTACAATCTCTATGTTGATCATTTATGCTTTTAAATACCTTATCTTGATGTAAGTTTCTTGATAAAAAGTGTCTTTTGTTGACTTTTGAAAATGACCTATAATGTTTTAGCTCACACCTTTTAAATGGAATCTTTTTTGGACTTGAGCATAAAAACAAAGTTGCAGAGAATTGAATTTTCTTCAAAATGAGATTTTGTTGGGGAAATATTGATGAAGTATGTGAAAGTTATGTCTGATCAAAGTTCAGTTGACTTCTCCTAAGGAAACCTTAATTTGACAATTCTTGACTTTTGATGATTTGACAACTTTCTTTGGGGAATCATGATCAATCCTTGATCAAATGATGAATATCACTTCAAAATGTTTATGTTGACAAAAAATCTTGAAGTTTGATTGTATGTTGATCACAATTGGCTTTTTTAACCAATATAGTTAATTTTCAATCATTTGAGCCATTGACTGAGCAAACTTTTGATATAGGGCTTGAAACTTGACATGGACCTTGTTGAGGACATATGAATAACCATGGAATCCACTTGAGACCTTTGTAAACCAAATTTCCTTGAGAAACTCAAAGCCCTAATTGTAGACCTTTGGGCTTAGACGGTGAGTTGACTGGTCAACCCTTGAGTGTCTTGAATAACTAAAAAACCTTGAAAGAATGTCTTGAGAAGAAAAGGGGAGAGAAAAATTTTGGGTACAACATTATGTAAATAAAAAATCACATTAAATCTCTATTTGTTATTTTACAAAAGATAACCATGTAACTTAAAGGGGCACTCACATTTTCTCGAACCAGTGTCATCTCCTTTGAATTTTCGGAGAAATTTTTTATATTTCTCATTTCTTTCGCATCTCATTATCAATAAATGCAACTCTTCTATTTGAACCATTATCGGGACTTCCGATTACAATATTAAACCCCAATTTGGATGCCTCCGTGCAAATCTATTGAAGCATAAGATCACAAAACTCAAACTTTTGTCCATTTGTGAATTGTTTGCCAATATCTACCTCCTTAACATTGATACTTTGGCATCCATAGACACAATAGATTTGGGGAAAACATTCGGGTGTACCATATCTAATACAAACAATAACACAAAATATTCAAAAACAGAATGAGATGAACACAGAACTATTGCAGAAATGCATTTCCGTAAGAATTCGTACATAATTCGAAAATACATTTTCAGACTCAACGTAACTTTTACAACTTAAAAACCAGATTAATGTGAGCAATGAGGAATGAAATAAATGATCTCTACATTGAATTCCAACTTCTTTTGCTCATTTTGATATAATGTGTAGGGACATCGAATGTATGGTTGCGGGTTCGAACCTGCGACATCCCACTTGTTCATCTTTAAAGGGTGAACTCTAGCCATTAGACTACATGACAAAAAAAAACAATCAAAAGTTTTGGAATGTAAATATTGATTGAGAATTGAAATAATTTTTGTGAGGGTTTTGAGAAAAATGGTAATGGTGTTTGATCATGCAGAGTATTGTTTTATTAGAATCATGTTTGATAATTTTAGAAATACACCTCTGACATGCAAAAGTGACAAATTTTCAAATTTCTGCTTCACAAATCTAGAAATACACTTCTAGAAAAAAAATGAGTTGTTAAATTAGAAATAAATTAATAGAACAAGTTCGAAAATGCATGTGCAAACTAAATTTTGGAAAGAAAAAAAAATGAGGTGAAACTCAATTGAGACATATTTCTTAGAGGCATATTTGCATCTGAAAATGTATTTCTAAAATTTGAGATACATTTTTAAATTTTTTATAAAATACTTTTCTAAAAAAAAATTAGGCTCACATCGAGAAGTAAACACGTTGAAAACAAATTTCATTTCTTTTCATTAGTCAAGAAGTGGAGAATGAAATGATTGATATACTATATTATCTTATTAATTTGCAATTAGTTGATTGATTTACAAAAGCTATGATAGTTAATAGATTTGTATTTCTAAGAGAAAAATTAGGTGTAGTGCCTTTATAGATTTGTGGATTAAGGATGTGTATTTGAGAACTAATTTCACTAATTTATTAGTTACTTAATATTATTTTATTATCTTACTTAAGTTTTTTTTTATGTTAAAGATTGTGATTGATGTTTGGGTATCTCTTATATTCTATTTTAATATAATTCGTTTGTTTATAATAAAATATTGTTAATTAAATTTGTTATACATAATTTAATGAGTTAAAAGGTAGTGTATTGATAATATAAAATAGTTTTATATTATTATTTAATAAGAATTTATTATTTATCTATATTATATAATTCATTTAAATATAACAGTATGATTTAATATTTAATATGATTATGATTAGTTGATAGTATAAAATTTACACCGTATCTTTTATTATCTAATTTTATTAGCTACAAAAAATTTCTAACGATCACTTGACCTACTTATAGCTTGGCTCGGCCTAACTCATTCAATAAATAAAAAATCACGCTATGCAACTTTTAAAAATGTAATGCACAACACGGTAATATTTTAGTACCCCTACAAAGCTGTTAAAATACTTAAGAAATCATGTTGTACCAAAATTAGTAGTAATTCTTGTAAAAGATTACCACCAATTAAAATCCACAACATTTCCATCAGAAAAATTCACCTAACACAACGTTCACTTACTCACAAAATGCATACAACTAAAACCGGCTTCTATCTAGAGTTCAACCTTGAACGAGATGTGTACCAACAGAAAATGGCTAGATACATGATTTTTATGTTAAATAACACAAATGTTATTAACTTTCACTAATCGTACTCCACATATGATCTAATTTTATTGCTAATTCAGCAGCACGTTTCCTGTCGGCGTGACTGATAATATTCAAGTTCACAACCTCTTCAATTGCATATAAAAGCTGCTCCTTAACTTCAATAGAAAGAGCAATGTAATTTGGTCCATGGACAGTGCTCAATTCAACAACCTAAAACAAGAAAGACTAACATAAATGAACAGATATACTTCCCCATGTTATTAAATCAAGTGGCTGACAAAATGATATTCTATATTGAACTATCAACAATCATTAAACGATTCAAAATTGGTAAGAGTAAATGAACTTGCCTGCTGCAGCCACGGGATTATGGTATTAAAAAACTTTCCTTGCAGAAGATATGGTGCTAAAGTACTAAGAAGAACATTGCCAGTTTTTGTTGACAAACTTCCTATAACTGGACCAGTTTTATTCAGAAGCTCAACGAGAATAAGGTTATCACCGGAACACAACGCTTCCATATATGCAGAGTTTAAATCCCCTTCACATACAAGACGATTCACACATTTCCAGTAGTTTGTGTTACCCTCAGGACAACCATTTCTAGAATTGGTTCTGGAAGCAGAGGAAAAGATACTGCCATTCTTACTCACTTGAGCAGAACTCATGCTCTGTCTATCCTCCCCTAAGCTGTTTATAATATCATCTGGAAATTTTTGGGCAGTCCCTACTTTGTAACTTTTCCACTTATCCACACTATCTCCTGCATGAACCCTCGGTTGGCTCCTTGAAAATGATTTTCTTTCCAAACTTTCAGCACTTGTTGAAAACAAGCCAGATTGTTTAGTATTAGTTTCTGAAGATGGCTTTGGCGTAGATACGGAGATCCTAGGAGAAGCCACATTTTGGCTCTGCCTCACAAATTTGGAGTTCTCTGAAAAAGAATGTCTTCCTCCTTTTAAAGATTCTTGAGATAATCTATCAATTACATTCTCCAAGCCTACCATTCTTGATTGGATTGTAGAAAGGGCATCCATTATGCCAGTTGTAAAAATCTGAAAAAAGAGTTGAAGTGTGCTGAGTAAAACAACCATGCCACATACCATGTGACACATACAAGAACCTCTTCAGAAAGTACTACAAATATGTGTGAGCACGCTCGTGTGACAAAAGTTACAGAATTTAAATTTTTATTGTGATAAATAACATAAATGTTAAATACATTTTAGTGATTTTGTTATTAGAAGGTTTTGAGAAAATCATACAAAACTTACCCTTCTTAGTGTGAAAGCACTTCAAGTGTTATCATGTTGTGAAAAGTAAACAAGGAAGCTAATGTTTATAAAACTACTGCATTTAGGAAAATGTCAAGCAGCTTTAGGATCCATAAACTTAGAAAAAGACCTGTACATATTTATTTGTATATCCATATATTATGCATAATATTAATACCTGTAATTGATGCATCATGTTTGCCTGTTTGATTTCAATATCTGAAAGTTGATTCCGAATACAAGACATTTCATTTGCCCTTTGTAAACAACATTCATGTGTAATTTGGGGACTTGGCTCGGCAACTGTAGAATCAGAACTTTTAGGATTCTGCATCTTTATGGAGTACATCTGTTCATTACAATTTATTTCTTCACCGAACCGTTGGCTTCTCATAATTGGCTTTTGTAGTCCATTGTTTATAAAGCAGTCATGGGAAGTTAAAAACTTGGTTTCATAGTTAGAAACAGAAGAGCACTCCTGCTTATCATCCATAGGCACATATTCATAACCCACATCCGGCATGCCTGTAACATCAGCACTCATTGCTTCTAGTGGCTTGGTGACAGAACTAGTCTCAAATTCGTCATTAGGAAATTCCACTACAGAATGTGTTCTGGGGACTGCAACTTCAACATGCCACTCATCTGTTTTAGGATGCTGAAGATGTTCAACATCATTTTGACATGCTTTTCTTACAGACAAAGGAATCCTTCCCACAGTTAATTTCATATTACCTTTTTGGAGTCTAACATCTCTATGTCTAGATTCAGTAGTAGTAGTACTGAGTTCGACAGAATCACCTCCACTAACATTTTCTGCAGAAAGCATAAGAAGAACTTAATAGCATGCGAAAGAATAAAAGAATAGCAATCAGAGTGGTCCTTATTTCACAATAAAAAACGATGATATTATCATATTACTATTTTAGTCCTGCCCTCAAGGTTAATAAAAATGAATATAAACAAGATTAGTATCCGATTGGGACATAAAGTACTACCAAATCTATGTATCCTTATTCCAACCGATAGTAATTTCAATATCAAAATTCAAAAAGAGGGAGCAAAGGTAAACCTTTTAAGGAGGATCCAGTTTCAGAAGGCTCGGTAGTAGAATGACCCGGAAGTATTTTCCAATATTTAAGAGCTTGCAAAACAGCATCCCTAACCGGTTTAACCTATAACCACTTATCAATATAAGTTGACAAGAAACATGGAAATTGAGAAACACATAAGTGGGAAAAGTGAGAGTCAGAAATGAAATCACCTTGTCAAACCTGGACGAGTCAAGAGAATGAATACAAGAAGACCTTAAAGGTGACAAGAAAGAACCGCGGCTGAAAGCAATTTGTCCCAATGCTACAGAAGCGGCTTTACGTGTTTTCCAGTCAGTATCTTTCAAGGCCTCCCTAATACCCGCAACAGCAGTCGTCAAAACAGTTTGCGTGGAAGCTCCCCCGGCCTGAATGATACTCCTATTCAACTCAATGAGCGCAGGCTTAGCCATAAAATGGGGACTTTTCATCAACTTAAGAATCCTAACCAACATGTTATGCAATATGGAAACAGGAGGACAATGTGTGTTGTGAATAACAGTAGCAAGACAAAAAGCCGAAGCAGACTGAACATGCTTATTCTGTTCACCAACCAGAGCTTCGAAAATGGGACTAGCCAATAACACAAACACCTTATCTTCATTATTTGGATTCCCCAATTTAGAAGCAATGAGCGCAACCGTTTCAACACACGCTTCTCTGACGGAAGAATCTGAATCTCTAAAGCATTTAACAACGGCGGCAACCATTTTTGGGAGATGTGGAAGGACTAGAGCTTCGTAAACTTCAGCCAGAGTTCCCATGAGTTTGATGCATTGTTTTCTTATGGGGGTTTTCTGTTCGGATTGAACGTCGAGTATGCATGAGAGGAATGGGGATATGGATTGAGGAGTTAAAGAGGTGAGGATAGCGTGAAGCTGATTGATTCCGATTTGATGTGTATCGCGGTCCCCGACTTTGTTTAATGCGGTTAGGACTCTTTGTTTCATGTCCAAATTACTCATTGCTTGTTGGGACTTCAACTTGTTCTTCATTTTTCTAAAATTCAATTTGCGTTTTCATCTTTCTCATTCAAATCGATTTCATTTTTAAATATGGAAACTCACACAGTCTCGGTTTCACCAAACTTACTAATCATATCATATCATTTATGAATTCAAATTTTGCGCGCCCACCATGTCAATTCAAATTTCACCTATTGTGGGCCCTTATCCTCATTTTCGCTAGTCTCTTTTTTTTTTTCCATCTCATGGGTCATTCTTTTTATATAATTATTTAATATAATTTAATTTATATAATTATAGTTTATTTATAATTAAGGAACTCATTTCAATTTTATATATATTTAAAAAAAATTATATAAATCAAATAAATTTATCTGTGCAAAAACACTAAACTTAAAAATATAAAATGATCCAACATAAAACATAAGGTAAACTTTACTTCAAGCTTCGTATAAAAAAACAAAGTAATTGACTGATCAAAGCTCTTAATTACGTCATTAATTTTATTGAGATTGAGATGAGAAATAGTCATAGTGTAGTAATTTTATTGAGGATGGTAAAGAAACCATTACATTAATTTTCTTTTGTGTTTATGCATACTGAATTGTTAAGTCAACAAGTACGTTTGATTTGTAATAAGGCTATAGTATTGTGACATCGGGATCAACATTAGGGGTGAGATTATGCTAGGCCGAGTTAGAATTTGTTAAGCCTATGTGTGACCTGTTAAAATTTTCATAGCCTAAGCCTGACCAATTGTTTACCTTGGGTTTTGGTAAACAACCGCTGATCCTCCAAATGGTTACTTATTTGGTTACTCGCAGGATCGATCAGATTGATCCTATGGACATAGGTTGATTTTGAAGTTTGATTAAAGTGGATAAGGCTTTAAGTAAAATGTTTCAAGTAAATTGCATAAAGGAAAGGCTTGGTGAAATAAACAAGGCTTTAAAGTAAAGGTTCGACAGGAATTTAAAGGAGAAAAGCAAGTAAAATACTGGAAAGGTAAATGACTTTAATTGATAAAAATTGGTGTTTCACACATACATTTCTCAACAATTCTTTCGCTCACACTGGGTACTTGAATCTAAATGAGTGACTATGTATATGATTGTGAACACACGCGAGAAACTACATGTCTACTCCTATTTATACTAAAACATTCCAAGTAACCGTCGGGCAGTTACACTGCTTCGAGATTAAGCCACTTGGCACGTTCTCCATGCTCGACGCTCCAGATCCTTGCACGTTTGCACGTAGTAACTGCAGGAAACCGTTTTCCCTCCAAAGCTTTGAATTTCAAACTGCTCCACTCTGGACCATCGAACACTTTCATCAAGAAACGTCTTCGACGAAAACTCCTTCGACGTCGAAGGCAATCAGCCTTCTTCCTTGGAAGAAATCTTCTAAGTATTTTGCCATCTTTCGACGGGCACTTCGACAGACTTAGCCAGTCGAAAGCATCTTTCAGCTTTTAATGGCTGCCATCAATCAAAACAAAGGTGTCGAATTTAGGAGCCAACAAATTGCCCCCCAAGAATGCCTTATTTCGACTCTGAAAGAAAAAGGCATTCTTTGAAAACGCCATTCGACACCTGTTTTTTCCACGCTTAGTCACAAGTTAACTTGTGCACTTTTTGTTGCTTTTTACCAACTATTGGCAATCCCAAGAAACCATCATTGATTTGATCCTAGGACGTCACTTTCAGTACGGCGTGCAGTACCAAACATCACTTCAGAATTTGTCATTATGACAAATCCCAAAAACGAGGACGCACGCTGCGTCTCTCTGTTTCTGCAGAAACGGCCAAAACAACAGGATGCTGCCACGCGTCCCACTAATTCCTGCAGCATTAAATGACATTTAATGTCCTCGTTATTGGGAATTTCTCCCACTACTATAAATAGTAATGAATATCCCATTATAGGACTTTTTACGCCAACTAGCCCTCAAACTCCCTTGCTTTCATACAAACTTGCTCTCTTTGCAGAAAAATTCTTCCTTTTTCACTTCATCTTCATCCTCAACAATGGCCTCTGCTTCCACTGCCCCCAAGACTAACGCACCAACTGAACAACTTGTTAAGCCCAAGGTCTTTGTTACTGCTCCGGTAGTGAACTCTACAGGGAAACGAAGGGTCCCTGAACCTTCTGACATCTCCGTTCGCGATGCTTATTCGCGTCACCTGATGATCCCGGTTGGATACTCCAACCAGATCTTCGCAATGTCTGGACCCATGAACCCAAGCATCTCTGAAGCTCTGAAGATCAAGAGCTATTTCCCCATCGTCGAGAAACTCAAGCCAGTAGCCTGCGCCAAGAAGGATGCAGAAGACAACGAAGACCCTACACACGAGAAGATCGACCTCCGTTTCTTCAACAGAAGTGTTAGGGTCTTCAGGTCTTGCCCTAATCTGACCTCTGACTATGTTGCTTGGCTAACAAAGTTGGAGAAACATCAAACTCCAGTCTGGAAGGAAATGGGAATCTTTGACCTAGTAATGCTGTCGAAGACAGGTTTAAACTACTCCCCAGAGATGCTTATAGCTTCGCTGTTGTTCTGGGATTACTCTCACTTCACCTTTCACCTTCCATGTGGGATGTTAACCCCCACACTCTTCGACGTAGCGGCCATCACTGGCCTTCGACCAACCGGAGATTACTTCGACCCGGAAGAGATGTCGGAGGACCAAATTGGCTTCTCTGAGACCAAGCCAACATACACCACCTTTATCAATCATTATCACGACAGGTCGACGGATACAGTGTCGGATGTCGAACACATAGCGTTTCTAGCCTTATGGCTAACTCGCTTTGTGTTTTGCTCGAAGTCTCTACAAGTGACCAAAAAGATGGTCACTCTTGCCACCCAACTGCATCACCGCCAAAACATCTGTTTGGCAGAACTAATTCTGGCTAGTCTTTATGACTCAATCAGCAATGGGGTTACTCTCTTGAAACACATCGAAGATAGGAACAGTTTGCTACTCGCTGGGCCTTTCTGGCTACTTCAACTGTGGCTCAACGCCACTTTTGAATCTTTCTTACCCAAGAAGATTCAGATAAATGAACAAGCCCCAGCGATAGCTAATAGACGTATCGAAGGAATTAGGCTGGCTCTACTGACACCTGTGGAAGATGGGCTGGAGTTCCAACAAACCTTCACTAACTTCGTTCTGATGTTCGCTCGAAGGAAGGAATTTGTTTCAACTATGGCTCCATTTGCTCAACGGAAGGTGGGGCCAGCATGGTTCACAAGGCCACACCCAAAGGAGTCGAGTGGTCCCAACGTCGATGAGCACACTGTACTTTGGGAGGCGTTCCTGACACCCAGGATCATGCCTCTTCGATTTAAGAGTTCTAAGACTCATTTGAGTCTGCTTGCCTATCAACCAAATCTGGTATCTCGCCAGTTTGGTATCATCCAAACCCTGCCTTCTCCTATTTTTCAAAGAGAGAAGTCAATGTTGTACTTCTGCAACGATTATACAGAAGAAGCTGCCATCAAGCATATCGGAAGATATGCTGGTCGAACAATCCTCTCGCTGTTTAACTACCAGCTTAATTTCCTTTGCTCACCATCCTTTGAGGAGTGGTGGAGAAGCTATTATGCTGAGTACTTCTTCGACGAGAAGGACTTCATGGCAGAGTTGCAGAAATCTTTTGTCCTCGTGTTGGACAAAGTAAAGAAATGTAAGTTCATGCTCTCACATTACTTTTTATCTTTCTCTTCGACTGTTAGCCTGTTAACTTTCCTTTTCGCTTTCAGTTGTTCGAAAACCCTTAGCCAAGAAGGCTACAGAAGGCCCACAAGGAGGAGTCCCTTCGACAAAACCTCCACCGCCGGCGAAGACTATAGCGCCGGCGAAGACAACGGGCAACCAACAGGGGGAAGGCTCTTCGAGGAGGCCTCCTGCATCGGTAACCAGATTTTCTTCATTTTCATTCTGGCTTTCGATTTTTTATTTTCGACGTAATTATTCAATCGAATTCCTATTGGTTTTCTAGGCCCCTTCGCCCAAGAAAAGGGCAGCATTGGTGGTCGAATCGGGGAGTGATGACGACAGTGATTCCCCTCCTACTCCCTTAAAGAGGCGAAAGTTAACGAAGGACGCTTCTGTTCCTACTCCTGCTCCTGAAGGTCGAACCGTCAGAATAAAGGTCGCTGTGAGAAAGCCTAGGCCACCTGCAGTGATCATCGAGGAACCAACTGAGGAGGAACTGAACGCTCTTCTTACAAAGCCTGTCGAAAGTGACAATTCCAGCCCTGGGGCTGAAGTTAATCCACAGGTAATCTATTTTTTAGGCATAGATACCAGTATTCGATTAAGTCTCTTTCGACATCTGAAGATTTGTCTTCTTTCTCTTTTTCAGGACACTACTGAAAGTTCCCCACCAAGGACTTCAGAAACTCTAGAATCTGCTGACCTTAGCAGGCCTCGGGAAAAAGATTTGGGCAATGACGAAGCCCATACTGAGAATGAGGCCAATGCTGAAACAGTGGAGAAGACAACAGAAGAACCTATGGTGGAGGAAACACAGCCAGAAACAGTTCCTGTGGTGGTCTTGTCATCAGAAGAGAATCCTGAAGGAAGAGACCAAGGCAATGGCGAAGAGAATCAAGATGCTGTTGACGAAGAGCACCAAGGTGGTACTGGCGAAGAACACCAGGGTGACGCTAGCGAAGAGCCACAAAATGACGCTGGTGAAGGACCCCAAGATGATGTTAACAAAGAACCACAAGTCGACGCTAGTACCGCCTCAGTCCAAGTCGAAAAGCAACCAAACGAGGCACTCAGCATTCAACAGCTTCAAGCCCAAGATAATACTGTGGCAAGGGTCACCTCCTCAAAGCACAGGTCAAAAGAGGACTTGGAAATCTTGAAACAAACTGACCCTGTCAGCTACCTCAATGCAATCATCGAGAGTAAGAGTTCTTCTGACACTAGTCAGGAAATTCCTACCCTGTCGGGGAAATCTACTGAAACTTCTCCTCTTGATGATGCGTTGGCGAAGGTTAAGGCCCAGTT